TTATGATTAGAGCCGATATCTCAGATCAGCCCCTTCAAATGAGTCTTCACCACCTCAGTCTCCCGAGGGGCTCCATTTCCACCCTGCTGACCTCGCAGGAATCCATCCTCCACCCAAGCACCCAGAGCACACTGCCTGTACGTGGGTCTCACAGTCTCGTGCTTCTGGTCAGAACCCTTCGCGCAGGGCCCCATCAGGTGAAAGCCCAGGTCTGCTTGCACCGCATGTAACAAGGCCAGAGACCTCACCGGAGTCCACTCTCAGCACCAGCTTTGGCCCTTTGCATGCATCAGTAACCACACTGCTTGCCGTTCTTTGCAAATACCTCGAAGGTTCTCAAGTCTAGGTTTTTGGTTCCTGGATGATCTCTTGGTTTAGAATCACTTTCTTTTCCCCTCAACTCTTTTCCTTTATACCTCCCTTTAAAGGCTCACCTTCTCCTTTGTAATGCCCAGCCCTTCACGCAGCCCACACCAGTAGGGTATCCTCCTCCGTAGCCTCACATGCAGAGCTCTATGGAGCTACTCGGCACACTATACTAAAAGCACCATTTTGTATTTGCCTGCCCTCTCCTCTCCAACTATGAGCTCCTTGGAGGTGGGAGTCACACGGCTTCGTTCTTGTATCCCGAGGACTGAGCCCAACATAGGTCCTCACCTGATAGCTTTGATGAATGCACAAATTAGTGACACAGAATAGAGAGGTGAGAGAGAGCAGAGAACTTAGATCCGAGGAATGCCCAGGCTTACAGTAGGTGAAGAAAATAATAAGAGAATAATAAGAAAGGTCTTAAGAATAATAAGAAAAGTAGGAGGGCCAACAAGAATTTTTTGTTGTCATTTTTCTAGTTACCAGCAAGTTTCTGTACAAATGCCTATTACTTTCTTAATAAGACCCCAACATAGAATGATGAAAATACAGTATATGTTTATTTCTTTCTCATGTAAAGATCCAAAGGTGACCAGTCCAGGGCTCTAGGGGCACCACTGCTGGCCTCAATAAGTTGGCTTTACCATCCGAAACCCATTTGGAACACAGCTTCAGAGACAGGAGAGAAGGGCCCAACCTTCCCTAAGAGATACTTTCATTTTTCTTCTGCAGATGCCCCAAATGCCTTGCAGCTAGTTTGACTCCATCAGTGCCCTACAGAGACATTTGCTTCAGCTGCAGCAGGCTTTGGACATGGACCTATCCCAGACAACTCTGCCCTGCAGCCTCTCCGGATGACTCCACCCCCCTGTAGCCCTCCTCAATTGCAACCACAGGGTTCTTCTCCATCCATGACTGAACAGAAAGCCTGACACTGCTCTCACATCAGCTGCCTTTTTTCCTATATAAAGAAACCCCTTATAACCTGAGAACACTCAATCTGTGTACTGTTCCCCATTAAAGTTTCTTCCAGATGGTACATTTTTGCCTATTCATTATTTCTATCTTGAATAGAGCAAGTTGAGCTGCTATCCTAAGAGCAAAAGCTGCTGGTGCCAAAAGATGATTGGCACCAGAGAACAATGGAAAGTGAGGAAGAATTGCCAGCAGCTGCCACTCCAAGTGGCAAAGAGAGCCACTAATACTAAACAAGGCGATAGCCACTGGCATTCAAAGCTCACTGTTGTTAACACTAAAAGAGCTGCTAGTCACTGGTGCTCAAAGACCAGAGCTGTTAACAGAGAGTTGGGCAAGAACCCTTTTAAGAACATCTCAGAAACCTGTGCAGGGACACCCCCCTCCAACTCTGCCCAAAGAAGAGGGCAGACAAAATGAGGATTGTCAGCAGGTTTAAGAACCAGCCCGTGTCTGATTTCTGTCTTACAGGAAGCTAAGAATCCACATTAGCTGTTGACACTTCTAAGCAGCAGTGAGAACCAAAGAGGAAGCACAGAACAGGCTGTTAGCATTAGGGAACTCTGAAGTTGTTCCATATGCCCACACCTAGCTGCAAGGGAGGCAGTCTCTACTTGAGCATCCATCTGCCCAAAGAAAACTCAGAAGAATTTTATCCATGAAAGGAAGAAGGGAGAGGACTACCAGGCACAAATAGTGGTCTGACATAAAGTGTTTCATTTCTACAACAGAGAGAACATTTTGTTAGAGTAGTAGCAGAAGAAGCCAGATTTCAAGGAAATTGAAAATTATTGGGCAACAAATAAATGGAGATAAAAAGTACAGCCCATTTATTCAAGCTTAACAATAAAATGGAAGAACAGAAATGTGATGGCAACTAGAAAGAACTACAGTTACAAAAGTTTTTTGTTTGTTTTGTTTTTCCTGAAGGGGAAATATCTGAGTTTATTTGAATGTCAGAGGAATGCAAGATTAAAAATGTCAGAGGCCTAAACCTGGAGATTTTGCTTTGTTAAGTCAAGAGGGTGCTCTCCTTGTGTAGCTGGAAGGAAGGAACACAGTACAGCATGGACACACTGACAGAAGGGAGCGGAAGTGAGACTGCAAAGTATATCGTACCCACCAGCTCTGCAGGTTTGCCTACTATGGAGCCTCAAGCTCCAAACGTTCCCCTTCCTAAGCCTACAACAGAAAAAAATAAAAGTCACAAAAATTACTATGAACCATCCCCCCAAGTTATCTGTGAACCATTCCTCTCTATCTCTAATTATCAAAGTCAATGAATCAGCTAGACAAGAGAAAGTGTCCAACAAGTATGAGAGGTATCCTGTCCCCTCCCAATCTCTTTCACTTATTTACATATTCTTCTTTCAGTACATAAATAGACATCACCTTCTATGTTCTCACAGCTAAGATTATACAAACAAACAAGACAAAGCCCTTGCCTTCAGGGAGTCTGATTTAAAGGACTGTGTGTATATTTCAGCAAAAGCCTTCAGAAAATAATGCCCAGCTTCTGCTGCCTTACTGCAGGACCAGGAGACTGAGAATTTCAGAAAGAAGGAGATGGGGTGATGGACACCTCTCCACTCACACTGGATACACTCCAGTCCCCAGGGGGCTGGAAGAACACAGATTCAGTCCATAAACCCATGGACCACATACATGGAAATGGAGATAACAAAATGTCCCACTTGAAGAGATACTAGGAAAGTCAATAATCCTCTAAGTAGCACCTTCCATATTTGTGCAGGGCCAATGATCTTCAGTACCTTGATTTTCTATGCACAATTTAGGCTTCCCTCTCTCTAGCCTCTCCTCCACATTACCTTTTTGGCCCACTGTTTGCTTTCAATTCTCTCCACATACTCTTTTTTTGTTTTGTTTTGCTTTTTTGAAACAGGATCTCACTATGAAGTCGAGACTGACCTGGAACTCACTATGTGGCCCAGGCTGGCCTCAAACTCACAGCAATCCTCCTGCCTCAGCCTCCCGAGTGCTGGGATTACAAGCGTGCGCCACCACGCCCAGCTCACGTACTCTTGTTTATGATCACTAGCGAGCACAGGATAGAAACGTGGACTCTTTGGTCCAAAAGACTGTGTCTCCCTCTTGAGCCATTTTCACCTCCAAGCTTCCATTTTCTCATCTGCAAATGGAGACAATAATCCTTACCTTCTGGTCAGCTTCTGAGAGTAACATAAGATGTCCTCATGAAGGTCTTTGAACAGTTCCAGGTGCCCCACGATCATCAATAAACGTTAATCATCATTAGACAATCCTATCAGATAAAGCAGCTGGCATCAGCCCAAAGCCTGACCGGTTCCAGCTGTTGGCTGAAGTGAAAACAAACAAACAAGCAAACAAAAGTAATAACGGCTCCTTAAACACTAGAATGAGTTCCACACACCCCTTCCGGGACAACCTTTTGCTTTACAGACCTAAAATGAACCAGGAGCCAGGAAGAGAGCAGTCGTGGGCCCCTCAGTCAGCCTTGGTAGGGCCTCTTGGGTTGGCCTTCCTAATAATAGGAAGTGCTGAGTCACCCAGTCCCGGGGCAGGGTGGGGTGGGGCCCTTCTCCCAGAGAGCGTTCCAGGGCCTGCTCCCTCCCTCTGGTCTCCTGACCCACTTCCCGCTGACGTCTCTTTGTCTCTACCTTCTTTATGCTCTAGTCTCTCACTCACTGGTACAACTGGTTATTTTCCCTCGTGGGGCAGGAGCCTCCTGATCTCAGTTCTTTCCGTTCTTGAGGCAGAGCTGGAAGGGCAGGTGCCCTCACAGACACCTGGGAATTTCCACTTTCGAAGAAGGGGATAGCCTGGACAGAAACAAGTGCCAAGTTTCCTGAGAACATTACTCAGACTCCTCTTAAAGAGTCAGATGGCAGGAAGAAGGAAGCAAACAGAAGACCTGCACAAAGTGGAAACCTATGAAAACAAAGCTTACAGGGAAAACTAGATGCGTTCTCTAGAAGCGAAATGGAGCACAACACCTTAATTCATTTCTTGATCTTACTTGTGCTATCCAAGGGTGCCACCAGAGTTCTAACGAGGACCGGCAGTCTCTCCTCTGCTAGGGATTCTCGCTGTAATAAACAATTTTGGTAGCTAACGTACTCTTGCCCTACACTGTGGAGATGTGAGATGAATCTGATTCTGGGGGCTGCACACCTACCTCCTAAGCAGCAGACCAGGGGAATTACAGCACTGGTTAGCGCTGTCACAGAAGGAGCAGCGCAGGAGAGGCCTTTCAGCATCTCTGCTAACTGGGGAACCGGGATCGGCAGAAGGCAGCTTCTGAGGTCTTCAGTGCACTTGCAGTGCCCTCTTCACCACTTGCAGCCCCACGTTTCTGTCCAGTTTCCTCACTTGTGAAATGTGGAGTTGTTGACCCTCTCGGTGAGGACTGAGTGGTCGCACAGGCCTACTCCTCCGGCCCCACTGTTCCTCCCGAAACCCTGACCGCAGACCCTGCAAGACACAGGACATGGGAGGGGCTGGGCGCTTCGGAGCACAGCAGCCGCCCTCTAGGCCACGTCCTTGCCCTCTGGGTACCAATCTCTGAGGCTGCGCTCTCAGCCAGCCAGCATTTCCCACCTCAGGTGATGCAAGCAGTAGCCACCCCACTGTGGGGCCTCCCGCTGCCCGGCTTCTCCTGGAGGGCGGCTGCGGTCTGGCTGCGCATTTCGCCCCTCCCTGCTCCATATGTGACCCTCTGTCTCCTTTTGAGACGGTCAGAGACCACCATGAGGACAAAGGGCAGGTGCACATCCGGGCCTTCCCTCAGAGCCTGGCCCTTTAAAGTATGGCGTGTAGTCTTCCCTATCCCTTGCTCTCCTGGACAATCCTGTTGACCTCAAAAGCCAGGATGTCTTGCCCCGGGTCTCCGAGAATAAACTAGGTGAGTTAAATAAAACTGTTGGGGTGCAAGACAAACTCCTGGGCTCTTAATTTGTTGCTAGCATGCTTTATCTTGTTACTAGCATGCATTATGTGTCACTTTAGGGGAGTCAAGGACTTAGAAGCCAGCCCCGCTCTGAAATCATTCCTACTGGTTTTGTTTATTGGGTTTTTATGTTTCTGTTTTATACCACCCATCGAACTTAGTACCCTGTGCTTGTGAGGCAGGCGCAGTGCCACTGAGCTAAATCCCCTGCCCTTCTGGTTTTTGATTTACATTTGCAGGGTTTTTACTTTCTACAAAATTAAGGAGAGTCTCATTTCCTCTCTTTTTGTACACAAGATTTCTTTCTATGCATATCTATTATTTATTCATCTAATCTTGTATTTTGGTCTTCAGTGAACTTTTTTCTTTTTGGGGGGTGGTACTGGGGATTCCTATCACCACCCCATTACTGGATTGGGGGCTTATGTATAATCTTATACTACTACAAATAACGCCACTATGAATAACTTCCTGCTCATGTTGCTTTAAATTACAGAGACGTTTGAGAGCGGAAGTGCTAAGTGGTTCCTCCTTCAACACCAGACCCTTCCCCTGGGGCTCTCACCATCTGCCTACGGCTTCTGTTGCAAGCTTTTGAATTTTACTCATCACCGGGGTAAGCAGGAATACTTTTCAATACTTTTAGTTTGCTTTTCTCTTAGTGTAAGCAGGAGTAAGTAACTTTCCGCGTATTTAAGAAGCACTCTTAGAATGCTTTCTTCTCTGAAGGCCAGTTCTTATCTTTGGTGTCCATTATGCCCCGTGGGGAGGCGGGCAGGTCCTGAATGTTCTGCCTGCTACTTTTTCTTAGGTGCTTTAGAAGAAATGTTTCTCAGTCTAGAAAAAGTTAATGGCCACTTTTGAGTTACAGCAAACGTGGGTATTAACTTAGTAAGAACTGGCGTTTCTCCAATGCTGTGTCATCTAGTCCAGGAACAGGGAACATCTCCTTGGTTTTGTGCCTCATGGGAGTGCTTTAAAACTTTCCTCACATCTGGTTCACACATTTCTTTGTACTCATTTCGCAAAACCACAACAGGATGCAGCTGAACACGGTGGAGAAAAGCCTATGATCATGCTGGTCTGACTCTAAATTTATTACCGCAAACCACGAGCCACGTCTGGGTGCCGCTAGGGAGTCGACACTGCCTGGTCCTTTGTCTCCGCTCCTGGGGACGACTATCTACATCCCCTTCTCCCTCCACCATTCATCTGGTTGTGTTGGTTTCTATCTCACTGAGGGAAGAAACGAAACAAGAAATCAGAACTTCTGCCGTTTTCCCATCAGGTACTGTCACCAGCCACCCAAACTGGAATCTCATCACACACCCACTCTGAAAAGCGTATGGATCAACTAGAAAAAAAGAGAGAGGGAGGGAGGGAGGGAGGCGTGTACCTTCAGCATAACCAGAAGATAGAATGATAAAATCATTCATTCGAGTCTGTGTGCCAGTCCTTGAAGGACTACCATAGATACTGAAATCTTCCTTTATATAAAGTGGTTGTTTGCATATAGCCTACAAAAGTCTTCCTATATAGCTGATGATTGATTCATTCACTGATTTTGGCTTTTTGAGACAGGTTCTAACTACACAGTCCAAACCAGCCTCGAACTTTCAGTGATCCTCTCGCGTCAGCCTCCCAAGTACTGAAATTACAGGCACGCACCGCCACGCCTGGCCCAATTTCCCAGTACACTTTAAACCATCTCTAAATTACGTGTAATACCTAGTGCAATGCAAACACTATGTAATAGTTGTTATTCTGTGCTGCTTAAGGCATAATGACATGACAGAAATCTGTTCCTGATGGTACAGATGCAATCTTTTTTTTTTTTTTAGAAGCTTTTTCCATCCACTGGTGGTTGAATCGGAGGACTTGGAAACTGTGCCTGAGAAATGCCAATGGCACAGGTTTCAATTTAGATGCAAATGGGAGTAGAAGTCCACAAGCAGGCACTTGCACTCTGTCCTGACCGGCGCATGGCTGAGGATGCCCCAGAATGCCAAGGACACGGAAAGCACAAGGGGCCCTCACCCGGAGGGGCCTGGGGGAGATGTGGGTTCCATTTGCACAGCGGAGGCCTCTTTTGCATGCAGTTGATGGGACGATGTCCGTGAGCCAGGAGAGTTGACAGCTGTACCGCAGCGCTGGATAAACACTGGGCAATTAATAACCAGGACAGTGCGACACCCCTGGTGCCTGCTCACCGATACGATGACTTACCTAATTGTACAGTGGAGCGAATCCAGGAATAGTGTCGTAGATACTAAGTTCCTAATCGTGGACACAGGGAGAAAATTCAAAAGATGTTGGAGACCAAACCGATCTCATGAATTAGAGCCATCAGGTAGTGACAGGTTGGTGAGAGGTGGTGGACCCTAAAGTTAGAGTTGTCACCACTTTAGTGACAGCTGTTAGAGGAGACATTTGCCAAAAGGACCGAAACATAAGCAGGACGGAGTTAATACCTCGGTGACCAGCACGGGCTTCTGATTGACAAGTTTTCAAAGAAGGTGTCAGTTTAGCCACCAGAGGGCAAGAGAACACAGAAACCATTTCAAGATTAACAGTTTTAGAAATGATTTACAGTTTAGAAATGGGCCTGTGTAAGGAGTCTTTGCAGTAACAGGCCATAAAAACAATTATGAAGGTGCTCTTTTGAAAGAGCATATTTTAAAACTGTATATCTAAAGCAGGGACTGATTCCCACTAGCGTTGCAACAAATTCTTCCCTTGTTATAAAAAAAAGTCAGAATGTTTTTAAATGGTGCATGCATTTCCTTACAGACCGCTAAATACTTGACAGAAACATGGGAATATGTTAGAATAGTTAACCTAACATTTTAAGAAACATCTTGTTGAATATTCCACAAAAATAGCATGCATGAAACGTCAATAACACAGCAGTGATTTATTTTCAAAATCTCAGTAATAAGCTTCTTTAAAGAAATCAAAGCAACTGTAAATTTAGCATGTAATGACATTCATTAGACTAGTGGTCAAAACAAGCATGTGATTAGTCTATCAAGAAGGAAACATGACTCAAGAACTCGATTTCGATCCCCGGTAGCCCCTCCCCCAAAAAAGGAAACATGAAAGTGTAAAGAGAAAAGTAGATCCAGTAGATGGAAGGTTGAGAGAGTGTCCAAGTTCCATAGTCCGCTTTCTCCAACGCCCTTCAGCTCCTCCTTTGGTGCCACGCCCCTCCTCCCTGCTGAGTGTAAACTTGCTATTCAAATGAAACTTCAAACTAGAGAAATTGCAGCAAGGTTCCTGAGGCATTTAAAATATGTTATTTGCGGGCGGGGGATTTAGCTCAGTGGTTCCACTGCCTGCCTCACAAGCGCGAGGTCCTGAGTTTGATCTTAGTGGCAGAACACTTGCCTAGCATGCACAAGGTCCTGGATTCGATCCCCAGCACAGGGGGAAAAAATTGAAAATCTCGATCTAGAAACAAGGATTCTGGCTCTAATGTGTATATTACCTGTGTAAACTATTGGCCCACAGCTTTGCAAATATAAAGGTTTGAGGCTAGGTGGTCTAGAAGATACTGACCTCTCTTAGATCCTAAGATTCTATTCCTTTTGCCCTCATCTTAAAGCTCTCTGCCTCAGTTAACATGTGACTCAAGAGCATAGGATGCTAGTCTTGCTCAAGAAAGCATGTAATTTAAAAATGGACTCTTGAAGGTGACTCCAAGAAATTAATCTCTTTCAGATTGGAAAAACAGGTAAAAAGAACATTCCTTTTCTTTTATGTTAGATGGAGGATTGTGGTGTCCCTAAGTCCATACCTTTCAAGGCCTACTTCAGGTTGGAAATACAGGCTGCTTTTCCATAACTTTAGGTTTTGATAAACTATGTTCCTCAGGGTGCTGCACGATCAGAGTAGCCACTAAGGGACTTAGTAGAAGGTAGGCTGGCCACACTCTCATACTTTTCCAGACAGCAGTGTGAAGACTGCTGACCATCTGTAGCAGCCGAAATGTCATTAGCTCTCTACAGAGAGCTTCAGGAGATGTTTAGAATTCGGCTTTTCCAGTATGGTCTGCCCTCGGCCGAATCATATGCAGAATTAACAGCACTTGGTTACAAGACAGCCAGGACTAGGCAGCCAGTCTCACACAAAGCACCGTAAACAGGAAGGGATGAGAACAGGCAGATACAACTTTCTTGTCTTGCAGGTGTGCTCTTATCAGGGAGGGGTCTTTCCCCCGCAGTACAGTGGCACTTGTATTTCATGGGCCAGAGGTCTTTTTGGAGACTCCTCCTGGTTTAGATCAGGCCTGGTTCGGGCCCTGTGGCTGCACATGTGTGCTGAGTACTGTCACCAGTGCCAGTGGGGTGACAGGCACAGTGGCCAGTCAATCCTGTTTCCCAGTGATCTCACAGAAGACTGGGGTCAGTGTTTCTCTTGCGAGATCAAAGTACTGGTCAGATATAAATCCAACTGTAGCACTGAGAGTCAGAAAATAAGGAACAGTTGTTGGTAGAGTAGATGATCAATACTCCTTTTAGTCTCATTGACTTGAAGTCAACTAACCCCAGTTCCTCCCTCACCGGGTTTCCTAGATTTCCCTGGTGCTTTTCTGATTTTGTTTATGTGGTAGAAGCCTGTGGACTGGTAATTGATTCTCTACCACCTTGTTGCTATTAGTGAAGGAGGAAAGAATTTTGGTGAATAGGAGAAGACAGCTGGGTTTGCAGGGAGCCACAGATTTTGATCCAGGACACATAATTTCTTTCTTTCCTTCCTTTCTTTCTTTCTTTCTTTCTTTCTTTCTTTCTTTCTTTCTTTCTTTCTTTCTTTCTCTTTCTTTCTTTCTTTCTTTCTTTTTCTTTCTTTCTTCTTTCCTTTTCTTTCTTTTCTTTCTCTTTCTCTTATTTTACTGAGGATTGAACCCAGGCCTTAATACTAAGCTACAAACCCAGCTCTTTTATTTTTTATTTTGAGAAATCTACTAAGTTGTTAAGTTGTCTGCACTGTACTTGAAACTTGCAGCCTTCCTGCCTCAGCCTCCCTCCCAGAGTTCTGAGATGGCAGATGTGGGACGCCATCGGCATGACCCCCGAGTGCGCCATCTGCATGACTGAAATCAGAAAATCAAACAAACACATTTCAAAGACCCTTTCTTTGGCACCACTCCACGTTCCTAGGAATCTTTCGACTTGAAAGTAACTTACAACAACCCAAGTAAGGAAGAGCCACAGTAAGGCCCAGGGCAAGGACCTGAGCCAAGCTGAGACCCAATTTTCTGACTCTGCTCTGAAGCCAGCGGACACCACTCTCCCATCTACACGGCCTTGGCATTCCTGGGACCACACAGAATCTGGGGAGGAGACAACAACTGCATCAGCAAAGCATCCCCACTAGAGTGGAAAAATCCAACACACACACACACACCCACACACACACACACTCACCAGTGATAATCTCCAAAGATCACACTGAAACAAAGCAATGAATCGGTGCTTTCTGAAGCATGTTTTCTCGCCCATCTCGCACATTTCCCTGGTTCAGTGAAGTCCTAGAATCACCAGTGATAATCTCCAAAGATCACACTGAAACAAAGCAATGAATCAGTGCTTTCTGAAGCATGTTTTCTCGCCCATCTCGCACATTTCCCTGGTTCAGTGAAGTCCTAGATCGAAGTGCATCTTATCCCAAGGTCCCCAACGGAGCCCTGACATCCAAACACCTGGCCTCACACCGAGCAAACCACTGTCCTCTGCCTTTTAAACGTTGTGCAAGGAGGAGGAGGCATTGGCGCATAGAACTCATTTCCACTGGAGGGAAACAAGATATCCAGAGGCAGTGGGGAGTCGAGCCCCACCCCGTCCTTCTTCCCTCCTTCAACTGAGAGTCACAGGCAGTCTGAGCTCAGAGCCCCCGTCCACAGCTGCCTGGCTTGTTCCTCCCAACAATCCAGAGAGGTTAATGCATGAGCAACACCTGACTTGCTTTTCCTATTTTTTTCCCCTTTTCTCTTTTCATTTCTTCTTTAACTCCACCGTTAGTCATTCAGGGCTGCTATAATAAAATGTCACAGGCTGGTGGCTTAAATACTTCTACACTTGCTCTTAGCCAAAAGATTAGCGATGATTAGCGATGGTGGCTTAAACAATGAACATTTATTTTTTCACAGTTCTGGTGGCCCAGAGGTCCAAAGTCAAGGTATTGTGGTGAGGATTTTCTTTTGGGTTTGCAGACAGAATTTTTATGTGCTTCCTGCATTTTAACAAGGAGAAGAAGGAACCCCAATCTCTTCCTTTTGGGAGGCAGTACTGGTGAACTGAACCCAGGGCCTTTGTACTGAGCTACATCCCCAGACTTTTTTATATTTTTCCTTTGAGACAGATTGCTGCAAAGTTACTAAATTGCCCA